TGGGAGGCCAAGGCTGCGGGATTACTTGAGCTCAGGAGTTTGAGACAAGCTTGAGCAAGAATAAGACCCCATCTTCACTAAAAATAGGAAAAACTAGCAGGACATGGTGGCAGGCACCTGTAGTCCTGGCTACTCAGGAGGCTGAGGCAGGAGGATCACTTGAGCCCAGGAGTTTGAGGTCACTGTGAGCTATGGTGATGGCATGGCACTCTGGCCTGGGCAATGTAGTGAGACTCTATCTCAAAGAAACAAACAAACCGCCCCCTACCCCCTACCTACTAACATTGTTAGATTTCTGGAGATTTAGAGTCTGCCATCCTTTCTCAAAGCTATGTCTGAACTGGAGGACTCAATATAAACATCATTGCCTCCTACATATCACTATCTTCGGGAACCATAAAAAAATTAGAAAGGACATCACCTTCATGGCATTGTTTAGCAGGGATCCGGACATCTGGAAACAACCATTTTCCTTTTGTTTCTGGGACAGCCAGGAGAGGGCATTCACGATGTGTGAGTTCTCCACAAAGATGAATGTTTGGGCTTGAGCAAAGGACTTGAGCACGAATGCAGTGAGCCTGCCCAGCAAAAGAGAAGATGAGACATGAGGACTATCTCACTTGTAGAGCTCACTCAGTGCACTGCCTCCATCCATCAAACTTCTCAATTCTGAGGAGGAAACTGTTGGTGAAACTATACTTGAATGCTGAATATTCTCTAGGTCAGCAAACATGACTCTCTTTTTAAAATTTTTCAATGTTGCTTGTTGACCAGAGTTGATGCTGTTCATTTTTTTTTCTCATGAAATATTTGTTGAGTTTCCAAATCTCCCCACCATCAAAACTGCGTTTCCTGAATGATTTCTTCTGATTTTACTACACCCCATTCTCTTTCTGTCTTCTCCCTCTCCTCCTCTTTTAATGCACAATGTGAAAACACCTTCCTCTTTCATTTTGCTTAATGGCACTTTCTGACTTATATTTGTATTTGGGGGATCCTTATTTCACCATCATCTGCTGTTCTATCAGAGCAGATGAGCTTGCAGAGATGAAATGACCCAGTAAGGATAACATCTATAGTATGTGGGTTTTTAAAGACTAAAAATTTTCTACAGAATATATCCAGATATTAGCAAG